ACACTTCCAGGGATGGGGCAGCCATAGCTTCTCTGGGCAGCCTGTGCCAGGGCCTGACCAACCTCACAGGGAAGAATTTCTTCTTGACATCTGACCTGTCCCAGTCACAGAGTGGGAGCAGGGACAGCTCTCCCTAGCCTCAGGCCGTGCTGGTTTGCAGATTGGGATCCTTTGGATGCAGCCATTTCCCATGTGGGTGTGAGAAGTGAGTGCCCAGCCTGGCCTTGAGCCATGCAGCCTCATGTGCTGCTCCCTTCCCTCCTGGAGCCAGAGTTGGGAGCTGTGGTGAGGTGTGGGACTAGTACCAGCTCTGCAGTTACTGAATTCATGAGTCATTCGAGTTCCTCTAAGATCATCGAGTCCAACTGTCAACCCAAGACCACCAATAATCCATGTCCCCTAAGCACTACAGCTACACATTTTTTGAACACTTCAGGGATGGTGACTCCACCACCTCTCTGGGCAGCTGTGCCAGTGCCTGACCACCCTTTCCATGAAGGAATTTCTCCAATATCCATCTAAACCTCCCCTGGCACAACTTGAGGCTGTTTTCTCTCCTGTCCCTTGTTCCCTGGGCGTAGAGCCTGACCCCCATCCCGGCTCCCCGCTCCTGTCAGGGAGTTGCAGAGCCAGAAGGTCCCCCCTGAGCCTCCTTTTCTCCAGGCTGAGCCCCCCCAGCTCCCTCAGCCACTCCTGGTGCTCCAGACCCTTCTCCAGCTCTGTTCCCCTCTCTGGACGTGCTCCAGCCCCTCAATGTCCTTGTTGTTGAGAGAGACCCAGAACAGCCCCAGCACTGGAGGTGCCTCAGCAGTGCCAGCACAGGGGTGGTGACCAAGGGCTGGGGGTGGAGAAGGTGTCTCATGGCTGGAGCTGGGGCTGGGGGTCTGCAGAGGTTTTCTTCTGCCTTTCCAAGGGAGAGCACAGCCCAGCTCTGTGAGAGCCCCATTGTGGGCTGATGAAGCAGGAAAACTTGTTTTTCCTCTTCTCAATGACATAAACGTGAGGGGTGAGGACTCCAAATTAGCTGTCAGACCTCTCAGGGCCAGGTTCCCACAGTGAGTGACAGATCCTCAAATAACATCAAAAGAAACAAGCACTGTCCTTGACCCAGCTCTGCCTCCAGCTGGGTTGTTCTGCCACTGACTGAAACACTGCTGGGCTCTGCTCCAGCCCCATCCCTTCCCTTTTCCATCGGTGAAAGCTGAGCATGATGGTGAATAATAAACACCCTGGAGCAAGGCAGCTCCTGTTCACCTGCCTCTGAGGGAAAGGAGGTAGAGCAGAGGGTCTGCTCAGCACTGAAATGCTTCAGAAGGACCTTTGCAGTGCGTGTGCAGTGACACCAGGCTTGGAGGGAGGGCTGTGACCACAATTGCAATGTCTTTAAGTCACACAGTGAGGATAAGTGACTTCTGCTCTCAGGGAAATCACCTTCTCTCATGTTTCACCATTCCAACTGCAACTGGACACCTCTATCCAGGCCATTTGTTGGATGGAATGGAAGCTTTAAACCTCCATGACCTATTAAATATGGCTTTTTTCCCCCAGCTTTAACCTGAAGGACATCCCCTCTGGGCTGGGCAGCGAGTCCAGACTGGACCGCAGCAAAGGAGAAAGCCGCACAGAAAACATCCTCATGGACTCCTCCTCCACCCTGATCAACAACGAGGGTAACATTCCTGGGGGGAACAGTCCCACTCCTACAGCTCTTCCCTCCTTAGCTGGGGATGTGGGATGAACTGGTGCACTTATCCTGCAAATTGGGGTGGCTGGACCTGCAGCAGCCCCAGGCGAAGGACACCAAGGCCCAGGGAGCTGCAGAGGGACGGTTCACCCCCGTGATCTGGGGTGACAGTGACAGTGGTGGCTGTGGGTGCCAGGAATGTGATGTGCTGGGGAGCTGGGCTGTCTGACTCGGGCACAGCCTGGCACGCTGGAGGACACGGGGAGGTGGATCCAACCATGGGATGAGCTGATTTCTCTCTCCCCGGGCACGCAGACAACGAGGAGACGGAGGGCAGCGATGTCCCTGCGGATTACCTGCTGGGAGATGTGGAGGCAGATGAGGATGACCTGTACATGATGGACCACGAGAACCCACATGGTGAGCGCGTGGCTGGTGCTGGGGGGTGCTGCCTGTCCCAGATGGGCAGCTGGATTTCTTCCCTGCTCATTCCTGCTGTCTCCTCACAGCTGAAGAGCAGGAATACAGCCTTCCCCAGGAAGCCTTCCCCCTGCGCCACGAAATCGTGGACAACCCCTCGGCCTTGGACCACCTGCAGGACAAGGCTGACTCCCCCCACGTCAGCGGCAACGAGGCCGAGACAGTGTCACTGACCCCCGTGGAGTCCTTCTCCCTGATCTCCATCTCCCACTCGCTCTACGAGAACCGCCTGCCCTCCGACTTCTTCAGCCCCATCGTGCGGGACACGCTGCTGTTCTACGCCGAGCAGGGGGACGTGCAGACGGCCGTGTCCGTGCTCATCGTGCTGGGGGAGCGCATCCGCAAGGAGATCGACGAGCAGACACAGGTGGGAGCCCCTGGGGGCAGGGGACACCTTGGTGGGATCCGCAGGCGGTGTATCCCAATGCTGTGAGATCCCTCCTGTGCTCTGGGAACCTCCCTTCTCCTCCAGCCCCTGCCAGGTCTGCTCTAACTGGGGTGGGCAGCTCTAGGACCCCTGGTACCTGCTGGTACCTGCTGGTACCAGGGACTTCAGGTGGTGTCTGTAAGGCCAGGGTGGGGGAGTGGCTGTGGCCTGTTGATTTGGGGAAGGATGCTATTCCCCAGTGTTGCAGAGCTGTTCTCCCACCACAGGGATCTTAGACTCATGGAATCCTTTAGGTTGGAAAAAACCTCTAAAATCATCAAGTCCAGTCGTTTCCTCAGCACTGCGAAGGCCACCACTAACCCCTGTCCCCAAGTGCCACATCCACATGGCTTTTAAGTTCCTCCAAGGATGGTGACTCCACCACTGCCCTGGGCAGCTGTGCCAGTGCCTGACCACCCTTTCAGGAAAGACATTTTCCCAATATCCAGCCTAAATCTTCCCTGGCACAACTTGAGGCTGTTTCCTCTTGTCCTGTCCCTTGTCCCCTGGGAGCAGAGCCTGACCCCCCCTGCTTCCCAGCTCTCCCTTCCTGTCAGGGAGTTGCAGAGCCAGAAGGTCCCCCCTGAGCCTCCTTTTCTCCAGGCTGAGCCCCCCCAGCTCCCTCAGCTGCTCCTGCTGCTCCAGCCCCTTCCCTGGACACGCTCCAACCCCTCAGTGTCCCTTGTCTGAGGGTCCCAGAACTGCCCCCAGGGCTGGAGGTGCCTCAGCAGTGCCAGCACAGAGATGGTCGCTGCCCTGGGCCTGTGCCCACACCATGGCTGGGATAGCCCAGGCATCATTGGCCTTCTTGCCCACCTGGGCACACCTGGGCTCATATTGAGCCACTGTTGACCCCCAGGACCTTTTTGACCTTTTCGACCAGCTCCTCTGCCCCAAGTTGGGAGCGCTGCAAGGGGCTGTGACTCAAGCATGGATCTTGCCTTTGGGAGGCAGGGCAGGGATCCCAAGGGGGTTTCAGGGTGGATGTTGAGGCTCTGCCATCTGTGGCCCTCCCAGGAACACTGGTACACGTCCTACATCGACCTGCTGCAGCGCTTCCAGCTCTGGAACATCTCCAACGAGGTGATCAAGCTGAGCACCTGCCGTGCCATCAACTGCCTCAACCAGGCTTCCACCACCCTCCACGTCAACTGCAGCAACTGCAAGCGGCCCATGAGCAACAGGGGCTGGATCTGCGACAGGTGAGGGCACAAAGCGGGCACAGAGCTGGGGACAGCTCAGCAAGGGGGCTCCAGGGGCTCTGCGGGGGCAGGAGGATGGGGTGGGTGCCCATGTTCCCCCTTGGTGCCCCCCAGGGCTCCCCCTGCCCATGCTCCTCCATTTCTCTCGTGCAGGTGTCGGCAGTGTGCCAGCATGTGTGCCGTGTGTCACCACGTGGTGAAGGGGCTCTTCGTGTGGTGCCAGGGCTGCAGCCACGGGGGCCACCTCCAGCACATCATGAAGTGGCTGGAGACCAGCTCCCACTGCCCTGCTGGCTGCGGCCATCTCTGCGAGTACACCTGAGCCCTAAGCCCCACGGGGGGGGATGGCAGGCAGGGGATGGGCAGGGCAGGCAGGATCTCCTGCCTGGTACCCCCCACACCTCCCTCCCTGTATTTATTGTGTAAATAAGGGCTGGGGGTGCCCCCCCTGCCCAGCCGTTTTGTACTGGATTAAAACAAACCAGCAGCTGAACCGAGCCGTGACTGTTGTCTTCACTTCACCTGGATGCAGAAGACCCCGGGGTGGGGCTGGACTCCGTTTCGGGCTGGGGGTCGGTGCCCCGGGGGCCTGGCGACCCCACTTTGTTGTTGCCCCCTTACGCGAGGGGGCCCCTTTAAGCCTTGATAAGGGCCCCACATTTCTGTTGCCCCTTTAAGCCGTGAGGTGGAGCCCATTTCATGTTGCCCCTTTAAGCCGTGGCCCTCACCAGGCGGATGTGCGCGCGGTGCATG